CTCTGCCCTTTTCCACAGCGGGACGTCGCATAGTCTTCCAATGGGCTTATCGAGATTCGACTAGCCAGCAGGAACGGATGCACATGCAAAAGGGAAAGGATCAGTCTCGGGGCATGCAAAGGAACTTGAGAATTGCTTGACAAGCTGCGGCCACAATCCAAGGTGCAAGGTTGTCGACCTGACCAACGGATGCTGGATATGCAGAAGGATTGGATATGTATGGGAGGTGGTACAGGATCAACCCCTCTTAACTAGATAATATCTACTATAGGTAATATCTACTATAGATAGTATCTACTATAGGTAATATCTACTATAGATAATATCTACTACAGATAGTATCAACTATAGATAGTATCTACTAAAGATAATGTCTACTATAGATAATATCTACTATAGACAATATCTACTAAAGATAATATCTACTATACATAGTATCTACTATAGATAATATCTACTATAGATAGTATCTACTATAGATGATATCTACTATAGACAATGCCTACTATAGATAGTATCCACTATAGATGATATCTACTATAGATATATTCTACTATAGATAATCTCTACTATAGATGATATCTACTATATTTAATATCTACTATAGACAAAATCTACTAAAGATAATAGCTACTACAGATAGTATCAACTATAGATAGTATCTACTATAGATAATATCTACTATAGATAGTATCTATTATAAATAATACCTACTATAGATAGTATCTACTATAGATAATATCTACTATAGATAATATCTACTATAGATAGTATCTACTATAGAGTATATCTACAATAGATAATGTCTACCATAGAAAAATGCACTATAGATAGTATCTACTATAGATAATATCTACTATAGATAGTATCTACTATAGGTAGTATCTACCATAGATAGTATCGACTATAGGGAACATCTACTATACTATAGATAGTATCTACTATAGATAGTATCTACTAAAGATAATATATACTTGAGATATCTACTATAGATAATATCTACTATAGGTACTATCTACTATAGATAGTATCTACTATAGACAATATCTACTATAGATATCTACTATAGATAATATCTACATAGATAGTATCTACTATACTATAGATAGTATCTATAGAAAATATCTACTATAGATATCTACTATAGATATCTACTATAGATATCTACTATAGATATCTACTATAGATATCTACTATAGATATCTACTATAGAGATAAAGGATGATAAAGGCCTATCTCTTTTAAGGGCCAACTTCCAGGGGAAGATCCGCAGAAAATATGGCCTTGTTTGGGGGGGCCCTGAAGTGATCTAGTCTCGGGATGATCATTGGAATAAATGGCGACATACCTGGTATACTAGCATATGCTAGCTATATATACCCTCTGGTTATTTAACATAGCCATGGTATAGATGGCCCATAGAAATAGATGGTTTACCTATTAAAAAATGGTGATTTTCCATGGCTATGTTAAATAACCAGATGGTACATCCAAATATCTATCACAGATCCTCAAATCATTGTAGATGTGTAGCACATTGAGAATATCTCGGACAAGTTCAATTCCAATTTCATCAGAAGGACAGATTGAGAAAATATCGACTGATATCGAGTGTAGCGTTTATTGTTGTATTTGGACGATGTGATATGCCCAATGCCATACAATGCCACAAACTATCCCCAATATTGCCATGAATAGGTTGTAAAAAAAAACATCCGCAAATGGCCAAATGGTAGTTGTTTCTGGCATTGGGTTTACCACAATACCAAAAATAATCTTCAGGTGCTGTACCATGAAACCCATGCAGACCCAGTGAGTCCCAGTAGTAGCTGGTCAGCAAAGAAACAAACTTGGGACAGGAGATCGCTAGTTGCAACAATATCAGTGTTTGATATTGACGATTGCCATCAATTATCTGTGTATTTCATTATCAATTATCAATTATCATATATAATTCAGAAACCTAACATACACATTCTTTGAGAGGTTTTAAGGATGGTGCAGCTGAACCAGGTCATCATCTATGATTGTCATCATGATTTTTTGGGGATAAAAGTACTGAACATCAAATAGGGAAACACAGAAAACAATGGATGGTTGATCCTAATTGTCCCTCTTAAAGTTGCCGGTTTTTTGGGAGGATGAATCCCTCATCGACTCTCCTGAGGTCCATTGCGAAACGTCGTACCTGGCCGGTTTTTTTCCGCTGGATTTCGAGTGGCCCAGCCCGAGGAGTGAGATGTTGTAGTGTCAAAAGGGAACTGTAGGATTCATGATGGATATAGGGAATAGAATCATATACCAGATGGTACCAGCCTATCATATTAATATGTTCAATGCGTTTTAGACCAACTTATAGCTGGGGAGGGGGAACTTTGCATCATTCCAGTTTCTGGTTTTGCCTCCAAATCCTGGACCTTCTCTAAAATGGATGGTTCCGTCTTGAATGGTTTCATCTCATTTTCTCCCCACAAAGATGGTGCCGATTTCTTTTGATTTGGGATGGTTCAAAGCATTCAAAACACCATCAAAATCCATCAAATATGATCCTCAACAAAAAAAAGGCTGGTTTCTTTATACCCTCAACTACATTCAACAGGGACCTCAAGTCTTCAATTTCCTCAAAAATCGTTGGGTCTTGGGGGGAATTGCCCCGACATCGCCTCTCCGCCACCGCCTCGCCAGTCTTCCACATCTCCAGACCGTGCCTGGCGTTGAGTGAGGGTGAAGGGCAACAGTGGTAAAGAAGCAGCCATTGGTCATAATATATAGACATGCATATGTGTAGAATACATGTATATGTATATATATATATGTATATATATAAATATATATATATTGTGTGTATAATATATAAAAATAATGTGCATAATATACAATTAGATATATGCGTAGATATAGATATGTAAAGTAATTAATATATATATATATATATATTTATTTATATATAATATCATACCTATATCTATATAATATCATATCATTGTCATATTTAAATCTATCTTCTATCATATACATACACTGTATTGCATACAGTAGGTGTTCTCATTGTCCCACAAAGTGGTCATCTCTGGTGGTAAATAATGTAGGTAATTCTGTGCTTTGGTACCCAACATTGACCCATACCCACAATACCCATAACAAGAAATGAAGGTTTGATGGTCTGGGTCAACTATCATTGTTCAAAATGATGACCCCACAGTATCCGCACTCCGAAACACCAGGACCTATTGGGATCACCACAGGATGTTCCAATAAGAGCACAAATGCAAATCAATGAAAAACACAATGTCATGAAATCAATCATCTTGCATAGATAAATTAGTAATTTAGCGATGAAGTTTTGCTTGGTACTTTGGTACATCTTTCTGCGGTAAAAAACATCCCAAGCTGGAAAAAACGAAGCGGCCTGACGCAAAGGAAAGCCAACTGGCCTGGCTGCATCACTGAAGCTTCGACATGGGGAGAGAAACAATGCTGGAACTCTTCGGAACCGTTTAGTTTGGACCGGAATATGGAGCATTATGTAACTCATATATCCCTACCCCAATGACATGGAATGACGAGGAGTATTGATCATTGAGAAAACATGATTGCAAACATGGAATTTTAAAATGAAATTTCAGTACGACTCTCCCCCTCAAATTCCATTTTTAAGAGGGTAGGGATACTCATACAGTACGTAATCTGTTTTTTGGTAAATTCCAAAGTCATGGCTGATGGTGGGTGTCCTTGCTCCGCCATCTCCAATGATTATTTGCCAATGGCCACTGGGGAAAAACCACGGAAAACCATAGAAAAACCAATGGAAATTACAAAGCATCCAACACCACGAAATTTCGTTGCGCCGGTCTGACTAGACTAGACTCATCCTTGTTACGCGCATCTTTGCCCTGAGCTCCAAGCGGTTCATTGTAGCAAACCACATCCAGGTTGACAATGTCACCCTCCTGTGACACTGGAAGTTCGTTTGATATGCACCATCCTACAAACAAAGTTGGAATCAATGTAGCTCAACTGGTACAGTATACATATATATATATTACTATACAATATATTTTACAAATGTGTATCGTATAATTGTACAAGCATATATATGAAATGAATAACAATAATATACTAGTGTATTTACATGTATTGACATAAATATAATCAAACCATATCAAAACAACCAAATGTGTTACTTCGCCAAACGAACGCATGATTAATAGGGCTTTAGTCATCACCCAAACCAATCTGAATATCATGGGTATATTTTCTGGGATACACTGGCGGTTTAACCAATCTCAAACTGGTTGATGGTTGAAGCACCAACAACCACCCCCAGCTGATCCTTAATATTCCCAAAATAGGACCGACAAACCGACCCCCTGAGTCAATTGGTCACCCAAACCCGACGAAGGCACAGTTCCTCGAAGGAATTGATGACATGGAAAAAGAAGAACCTGCCATGAGAGCGGTCTGCCCTGTGAATTTGCCATAAGCTTTAGTGGGGTCATTATGGAGACACTATTCCAATACCATCCAATACCAATCATATCTCGGCCGAAACATGGCCTCCAAACGTTGGAGCCCTTGGCAAGTGAACACTGTACTACTGCAGCACATCCATGTAATGTCGTATATCAAGAAATCCCCACCAAAAAAACTGTCTCCGGCAACATCTTGATACCAGCCTGTTGCAACTTGTGGGCTCCAACAGAAAGTCCAATGACCGGAGCGTTTCGGGGGTTGGTTTCCTTTCAGCAAACCGATTCTGGGAACTTTGCATCCACCAATTTGTTGCAACAGGGCCACTGTGATCACTGCACTAAAGCGCGAGAGACGGGACCTTTTGGCTCCACAAGACTTGGTGTGTCCAGTCTGCAAGTTTCCAAGCGGACTCAGTTGCACTGGCCAGTGGCACTGTCAAACACAGTTTGTACATATAGATGGATGCCATGTGTATCATGGATGGACAGTTGTCAAACTGTCCCTTTTCAGTGTCCGTATGGATACTCTTAAGTTTTATAGATGACTTTCTGACTGAAGGATCTAAACGTGTAAGTGTCTCTGTTCTGATGCAACAGATTTCCGCACGTCGCAAATTGCGGCAGGCGCCATATCATGCATCCTTGGCAACTACCTAGAACACCTGTTGCCACCCCACATTTCAGCACCTGCAAATACAGCACCGTGGTATGTTCCACAGAAGGTGCTGCGGCTGTATGGTCCACTTCCACGACTGGTTCCTGGATCCATTTCTGGTCATCAGCTGGCTGGGAAATCCTAAATCGAGGTTTTGGTTGGAAAATCAATGACAATCATCGAACTACATGGTGATTTGTCCATTGCCATGTTTGATTGCGAGAGAGTACGGTAAGCATGTTCAGAAGCATACATATTTAGACGGCCAGATCGGCTTCAAGACAAACCCAGATGCGCAGCAACACATTGCTACATCAGCCACCGCTCCACTGGCTCCTTGCGATAGACTGCGAACTTCAAGACATCTCCAAAGCCCACCTTTGAGAGCACGCCCGTGTAGTCCCAGAGGGGCATCGGGCCCTGGCCGGAAAATTGGCAACATTGGCAGCTCCATTTTTCCTTGACCTACACCCCCGGACCCACCAGAACCACTTTAGAATCAGATAGATTGCATGAGAAAAACTTATATTATCCTATGTTTCTAAACGGTTTCAAATGATTTGCAGCAGCATTTCCAGGTTGCCCCGTTCCAAGTCGGGCCTGAAGTTCTGGCGTTTGCAGCCGGGTATAGGGTTTGTTCACCACCTCAATCACGCAGTACCTTGTCATGGGACACGATTGACCAAAATGTCCATGAATTTGGAATATCCCACCGTGCCCAACTTGAATCGTGGTGTAATACGTGTAGTGAATTATTGAAGGAACCGCGGCTTGTAAGCAACCGATGCCTGGGGCCAGCCCAAAACAGGTGGATCTTCCAGCGCCCCTTGGTAGCACGTGGAAATCTTCTTTCCACGGGTCGGGCTGGTCAAATCTGCCACTTGGTGCTCCCCAAACATACCCAAACTGTTGGGCCCAAAAGGACTGCGTACGAACACAGCAGGATCCACTGTTGTTTGCTGAGAATAGCCGACGAATTAAGTTTTTGACGCCAGTGTTGTGCTGCTCTCGTAGCAGTTCCATCTTCTTCGCTGCTCGTTGATCCAAGAGCCTTCCGTCGGCTGCGGCTGGGAAAAAGGGCTGTGGAGAAAACCGTGCAATGACCTTCCACCATCTTCCACCTCAAAAGCAACGAGCAGTTTACAACCCCAAGTCCCAGCTTTCACCCGAAAACATGTCAATTGGGGCCCAGTTCGCTCGGGCTGTCCATGACCAAGTTTGGCCGCTGTGACTCACCAAACTAAGTCCTAACCACTGTACTTCCACAGAACCCTCCAGTTGCCCGTGATGTCCATACCTCATCGTGCTGATGCTAAAAGAGATCTTTTTTTTCACTCGCACGGATGCCGGTCAGGGCCTCCGGGTCTACCACGTGACATTGCGCAGAATGTTTGGAAATTTTTCTGGGTGCTCTGAGAGCGCCTGCGGCAAATCTTTCTTTCCAACATTTGAAGGATGAATTTCAGGGTCGTGGCGGCTCGGGTCGGAGTAGAAGGTATTTTCTATAAAGGTGGCCAAATCAGCTTCAGTCTGGAATCCTTGGGCGTAGTGGAAGCGCCCTTCCACGCGGATGAAAAGTTTGTGCGCAAGAGCAGAGCTATTGAGCATGAACGAAAAATGCCAAGCAACGTGGCTACCGTCCATAGCACTAAGTTCATTTGGCCGATCAATGAAGCCTAGGTCACGTGCAAGCTTGGGCACCTCTCCTTCATGTTCGCTCATAAAACCAACGGTCGTTGGATAGTCCGAAAAGCCACTGAGCCTGCTCCACGCAACGCTATAAGTCAAGTCTTTCATGCGGACATGAGATCTCCAAACGCCTCCGCCTGGTTTGCACCACTTCAAGGCTCGTAAAACTTTATGGCTCACAATCTCGTCCAAGTCCTTGGTCGAACGTAGCGGGGCTATGGGGTGGATTTGCATGTGAATGGCAGTTGTGCAGTTCCTCATCAATAAAGTTACCTAACGCAAACAACAATGGCACCTTTAATTCAGTCTGCCAAACGAACCATTCCTTTCTAGTAGACTAAGAATTCGGGCCAGCAAGTCGATATTGGTCCAAAAGATACGTTGAAATTCAGGACGTGGTTTGTTTTTTAAATGGCGTCACTGGGAAGAATGTTTTGATAAGGCTGATCTTGGTTTTTTGGGCATTGACGAGGTCGTGTCGGCACCCTTTCTTTGAAGAGTGAATGCAAGCTGCCGGGTAGGTGGTTTTAAATGTCAAACGACTTGACTTAGGTCATCAGTTAGGCCTAACAATTTCTGTACTTCTCATTTGGAACCAACAACCATTCTGGATGGATGCTATACCGCACCACATTTTCTGAAGTGCTTTTTCCGGTTTTGGTCGAACGAACTAGCGGGGCTACAGTGGAAGCGGGGCAGCAGGTGGAAGGTGGATCAGCTGATCCAAAAAAACATTCAGGATCCAGAAAAACAGATGGAAAACCTAGTTGTTTTTGTTTGCCACAAATATTTAGGAGCGGGGCTGCGGGTGGTTTCGAAGTATGTCGGTGGCAAGCGGGACAGAGGGTGGAAACAGGAGAGCAGGGCAAGCGGAGGTGAGCTGAATCATTTGACAGAAGTGTTGATAAGCGGGGCAATGGGAGGAAAGGTGCCAGCAGGGCAACGGGAGGAATCTGTGTACTTACTGGAAGCGGGGCAACGGTTGGAAAGCTGGAAGCGGGGGAAAGAGATGCATTTCCGGACAGCGATTTTTGATGAAAATAAGCCCAAAGAGTGTCCCCAACAGCCAGAAACATCAGAAACAGAAACAGTTGCCAAACACGCAATGTGTGAAGTTATTGCCTCGCCCTTCTTACTCTAGAGGTCGGGCGTGCAAGGCGCAATCACAGCACAAACACTTTATGAAAAACCGCTTTTCCAAAAGCGTGCGCAATACTGTGGCCAATATTCCCGATGCTCGTGCGAAGGGTTTTGCCCAAAGAACGGTTGTCCGCCTCACTTTTCACTTCATCTACCTAGCATATATCACCCACATCTCTTATGTCCTTTAACTTTAAATCACCTACATCTTCTATACCATCTTCTACACCATCTCTCCCTAGATCTACATCTACATCTACACCTACACCATCATCATCATCACCATCATCATCATCATCACCTACATCTGTTTCACCTATATTATCTACACCACATACACATTTTCCATCAACCTCATCTAAATGACATGCTTTATCTACAACACATACATTACCTACATCATCATCTACATCGCTACATCCTCTACATCACCCACATCACCTACATCTTCTGTACCATATTCCCTACATCATCATCGCCATCATCATCGCCATCATCATCATTATTATCATCTCCATCTCCATCACCATCACCATCACCATCACCATCATCATCATCATCATCATCATCATCATCTCATCATGATCATGGTCATGATCATGATCATGATGATGATGATGATGATCATCATCATCATCGCCATCTCCATCGCCATCGCCATCGCCATCATCATCATTATCAGCATCATCATCATCATCATCACCATCACCATCATCATCATCTAAATCTACATATATCTCATCTACACCATCTACATCGCCTACACAATCTTTTGCCATCAGCCTCATCTACATGACATACATCACCAACAACGCATACATGACCTACATCATCGTCTATATCACTGCATATCACTTACAACATCATCCTCATCATCTACAACATAGACAACATCACCTACATCAGCTACACGTGATCAACTTCTAGGGAACTCCTACAAAACTTGAAAATGTCATTTACACAGGAGTTGACTTGCAGGTGATCCACTTCTACTTGAACTCCTACAAGACTCCTGCCTGCAAGGTCATTTGCACAGAAATTGTTTCACAGGAGTTGCTACACAGGAGTTCAGCTAGCTTCCAGGTGATCAAATTGTATCTGAACTCCTGCAAAATCAGACTTCTCCAGTTCTTCTATTTCTCTCTGGCGGCAGGGACAGCCAGGCGGTGGCTTACGACATGTTACCCTCTGCGGCGTGTCGGACATCCAAACGTGTGGCGAAATGCGGGTCTTGTTTGTCCTTGGGCAACCCTCTGCGGAGATCGCGCGTGTCGGATGGGCAAACATGTGGTGTGACAGTGAAATGCGAAACTTCTTTGCCCGCAGCAACCGTCTGCGGAGATCGTTCGAAACGCCCAAGCATGTGGTGGAATGTGAATTTCTCTTGGGCACGGGCAACCCTCTGCAGAGATCGCGCAGGTCGGGCATCCAAACATGTGGCAAAATGCAAATTTGGTGAGGCCCGGTGCAGCCCTTCGCACGAAATGACGGTCAACCGTCAAAAACTGGTGTAAAATTGTGATTTTGAAAGTTCAGATGCAAGCGTGGCATGAAAGCCAAACGGCAATAACTGTGGGAAAACTGCGATTTTTTAACGTCAGATGCAAACTGGTGTAAAATTGCGACTTTATCACTTTTGAAACGTCAGGCACAACCATTCCGCGCGAAATAAAACTTGTGTAAAATTGCGATTTTACAAGGTCAGGCACAACCCTTTCACGCAAAATGATTGTCCAATGTCAAAAATTGCGATTTTCCAACGCCGAATGCAACCCTTTCGCACGATATGATGGCCGAACGTCAAAAACTTACGTAAAATTGCGATTTTTTGGACGTGTGGTAAAGCTTCTCTGTGGAATCGTTTTTTCTGTGGGAAAGCGTCTGTGTGTAAAGGCTTCTCTGTGTAAAAGCTTCAGTGCGTAAAAAGCCTCCGTGTGTACAAGCTTCTGTGTGTAAAGGCGTCTGTGCGTAAAAGCTCCTGTGCGTAAAAGCTTCTGTGGAAACGCTTGTGTAAAAGCTTCTGTGTAAAAGATTCTCTGTGTGAAGGCTTCTCTGTGTCAAAGCTTCTGTGATTCTCTGAAAAACAATATGTGTCTAAAAGCTTCTGTGTGTATAGGGTCAAAGCAACTCTGGGTAAATGCTTCTGTGTGTAAAGGCATCTGTGTTCAAAAGCTTCTGTGTGTAGAAGCATCTGCCGCATCTGTGTGAAGAACTTTTGTGTAAATGTCTCTATGTGTAAAGACCTATCTGTGTAAAAGCTTGGGCATTTCCGTGTTTAAAGTTTCTGTGTGTATCAGATTGTATAAGCTGCTCTGTGCAAAGGCCTCCCTCTGTGTAAAAGGTTCGGTGTGTAAAAGCTGCTCTGTGTAAACCCTGCTCTGTGAACAAGCTTCTATGCGTAAAAGAGTCTGTGTAAAAGCTCTGTGTGTAAAGGCGCGTGTGTAAAGCTTGTGTGTGTAAATGCTTCTGTGTATAAAAGATGCTCTGTGTAGAGGCTTCTCTGTGTAAAAGCTTGTCTGTGTAAAGCTTAAGTGTAAAAACTTCTGTGCGTAAAAGCTTCTGCGTGTAAAGGCCTCTATGTGTAAATGCGTTTGTGTATAAAAGCTTCTTTGTGTAAAGGCGTCTGTGTGCAAAAGCTGCTCTGTGCATCTCTGTGTAAAAGCGTCTGTGTGTAAAAGCTGCTCTGTGTAAAGGCCTCTCTGCGTCAAACCTTCGGTCTGTAAGCTCTTTGAACAAGCTTCTATGCGTAAAAGCGGTGTGTAAAAGCTCTGTCAGTATGTGACTTTTGTGCGTGTAAATGCTTCTGTGTATAAAAGATGCTCTGTGTAAAAGCTTCTGCGTGTAAAGCTCCCGTGTGAAACCCTCTGTGCGTAAAAGCTTCTGTGTGTAGAAAAGCTTCTTTGTGTAAAGGCGTCTGTGTGCAAAAGCCGCACTGTGTAAAAGTTGCTCTGTGTAACGGCTTCTCTGTGTAAAAGCGTCTGTGTGTCAAAGCTGCTCTGTGTACAGGCATCTGTGCGTGTGTGTGTGTGTGCAATTGGCGTCTGTGTGTAAAAGCTTATGTGTGTACAATCTTCTCTGTGTAGAGGTCTCGATGCGTCAAAGCTTCGGTGTGTAAAAGCTGCTCCGTGCAAACGCAGCTCTGTGAAAACAAACCTGCGTGTAAAAAAATTGGTCCGCGCAAAGGCTTCTCTGTGTGAAAGCTGCTGTATGTAAAAACCGTTTGTGCTCAAAGTTCCTCCCCGCAAACGCTTGTCTGTGAAAAAGCTTCTCTGTGCAAATCTTCTCTGTGTAAAAGCTTCTGTTTGCGTAACACTGCTCTGTTTAAAGGCTTCTCTGAATAAAAACTTCTGTGTGTAAAAGTTTCTGTTTGTAAAGGCATCTCTGTGCAAAAGCTTCTGTGTAAAAGCTTTCTTGTGAAAAGGCTGTAAAAGTTTCTGTGTCTAAAAGCTTCTTTTTGTAACGCGTGTGCGCAAAAGCTCCTGTGTGCAAAAGCTTGGGCATCTGCGCGTTAAAGTTCCTGTGTAAAAAGCGTCTTTGTGAAAAGGGTCTGTGTGTAAAGCTGCTCTGTGTAAAGGCTTCATGTGGTAAGGCTTCTTTAGAAACGGCTTTTCTGTGTAAAAGCTTCTGTATGTAAAAGCGTCTGTGTGCAAAAGCGTCTGTGTAAAAGCTGCTCTGTGTAAATCCCTCTCTGCGTAAAAGCTTCTGCGCGTAAAAACTTCTCTGTGTAAATGTTTCGCTGTGTAAAAGCAACAAGTCTTTTGATTCTGACTGTCGCTCAGGTGCCAGCCCTGGAGAAAACCCTCTGCGGGGACAAAAAAGGCATGACACCGTGGATATATAATTTGACCCGCGCCAGCTATCATTCATCATCATCTCCATCGCCATTCATCCTCGTCATCGTCATCGCTATCATCATTGTCCTCATCATCACCATCATCATTTTTCTTGTGTATTTTCTTCTCGTCTCCTCCCTCCTGGTTTCTTTCATGCCACGCTGTCGTCTAGTGGCTTTATCCATGTGCGAGCGCCGTATGATTTTTTGAAGCAAAACTAGTTCTTCAATCTCTCCGTTCCGTTATTAAAACAATTCTTCAAACTTTGCAGTATTCTGTTGTTCAATGTTCTTGGGACAACTGTTCTTGGACACGTTGCTTGACACTTGTTTATCGGAACCTTGCTTGGGAACCTGTTCTTGGGAGCCTTGCTTGGGAACCTGTTCTTGGGAGCCTGTTCTTAGGAACCTGCTCTTGGAAGCATTGCCTGGTAACCTGTTCTTGGGAACTTTTGCCTGCTTGCTTCAAACCTGTTCATTGGGACCTTGCTCGGGAACCTGTTTTTCGTAACTTTGCTTGGGAAACTTGTTTAGGAACCTGTCCTTCGGAACCTTGCTTGGGATTCTGTTCTTGCTTCCAACCTTGCTTGCAGATGTTCTTCGAAATTTCGCTTTGCAAGCTGTTCTTGGAAAGCTGTTCCTGGGAACATGAGCAACCTGAAACCATGCTTGGGAACGTGTTTGTGGGAACCGTGCTGGCAACCTATTGCTCGGAACCTTCCTAGAGAATTTGTTCTTGGAACCCGAACCTGTTCTTGGGAACCTGTTCTTCGAACCCTTGCTTGGGAACTTGTTCTTGCGAAGCTTGCTTGCAAACCTGTCGCTTGGGGACCTGTTCGTGGAAACCTTGCTTGGGAACTTGTTGCCGAGGACCTTACTTGGGAACTTGAGGCACTGTTCTTGGAACCCTTGCTTGTGAACCTGTTCTTGCGAACCTTGCTTGGGAACCTGGTCTTGCGAACCTTGCTTGGCTTGGAAACCTGTTCCCAGGAACCTTGCTTGGGAAACTGTTTTTGGGAACCTTGCTTGGCAACTGTTTCTGGAACCCTTGCTTGGGAACCTTGCCTGGGAACCTTGCTTGCGAACCTGGTCCTGGAAAATTTGATTGGAAATCTTGTTCCTGGGGTGGCTGAAGATCCCAAGCTTACGCTGTTGGGGAAAAACGTTCCCAAGCAAGTTCCCTTACGGTTTGCTTGGGAAACTTGCTGGGAACCTTGCTTGGACACCTCTTCCTGGAAACACTTGCTTGAAAATCTGTTCTGGGAACCTCGCTTTGCTTGGAAAAACATGTTCCTGGAAATCTCGCTTGGGAAACGGAAACCTTGAATTCGTGCTTGCAAAACCTGTTCCTGGGAACCTTGCTTGGAAACCTGTTCCTGGGAACCTCTTCCTGGGAACCTCTTCCTGGGAACCCTTGCTTGGGAACCTCTTTCTTGGAACCTTGCTTGGGAACCTCTTCCTGGGAACCCTTGCTTGGGAACCTCTTGCTGGGAACCCTTGCTTGGGAACCTCTTGCTGGGAACCCTTGCTTGGGAACCTCTTGCTGGGAACCCTTGCTTGGGAACCTCTTCCTGGGAACCCTTTCTTGGGAACCTCTTCCTGGGAACCTTGCTTGGAACCTCTTGGAAACCTTGCTTGGGAACCTCTTCCTGAAAACCTTGCTTGGAACCTCTTGGGAACCTTGCTTGGGAACCTGTTGCTGGGAACCCTTGCTTGGGAATCTATTCCTGACCTTGCTTAGGAACCTTACTGGGAACCTTGCTTTGGGAACATTGCTTGGGAACCTCTTCCTGGGAACCTCTTCCTGGGAACCTTGCTTGGTGGAACCTCTTGGGAACCTTGCTTCAGGGAACCTTGCTTGGGGGAACCTCTTGGGAACCTCTTGGGAACCTTGTCCTGGGAACCTGGAAACCACGGCTTGGGATTGTCTTGGGAAAGGAGACCGCTTCCTGGGAACCTGGCTCCCGGATTCCCAACCTTGCGCAACCTTGGCAAGCTTGGCGACCTTTACTTGGGAACCTTGGGGGAATGAGCAATTCCGGTCTGCTCCGAAACCTTTACTATGGCTGAAGACCCCAAAACTTCTGCTGTTGGGGAAAAAACAGGAGCCTGGGGAAGGGGTGGAATTGCTCACAGTTCTGGATTTAACCCATATACCCGATAGCCACCTAGCGTAGTGTGAATACAGTGAATACAACCTATTCTAGTTGGAATCTTCTGGCGTAAATTTGACTGGGGTTCCGCCCCTTGTAGCATTCCGACACATTTCTTCAATTCCCACAAGTGAATCGTTAGAGCTTGCACAGACTGGTCTTGTGTTGATGCCTGCCCTGGACCCATCCAGCAATTCCAAAACTTCCGTGTACAGGAAACCGCTCATTGCTAAATAAAATACATCCGAAATCTACTCGCTGTGTCGTAGAATAAAAATTAGCCATCACGCCAACGAGTCTCTGTCGGCCTTTACAATAATACATTTGGGCGCATCTTACAGCAGCAATAATACAATACCCGAATGCAACTATGCTTACATAAACTACCCGTCGGACCGGAAACCGTGCCCATAAAACGCACGTTTTTTAAAAAATGCGATTATTTTACCACAGTGCCGTGCTGATTTGATGATTGGAAATCCTGGAAAACTTTTCAGCGTCATCGCTGCAACGCATGCACCGTTATCAGCTGGCAGTCAACATTCTTGTGAATGCATCTCCATTGCCATGCTCTACGATCCCAGAGATCTCAGCAGCGTAGCAACATGTAACGTAGTAAACGATCCCAGAGATCTCAGCAGCGTAGCAACATGTAACGTAGTAAACGATCCCGGAGATCTCAGCAGCGTAGCAACATGTAACGTAGTAAACAATCCCAGAGATCTCAGCAGCATGGCAATATATCATGTACGAAGTACAAGGAACGTTAACATGACCCCCCACCCCACCCCACCCCACCCCATCAGCACATGTAACGTAGTAAACGATCCCAGAGATCTCAGCAGCATGGCCATATATCATGTACGAAGTACAAGGAACGTTAACATGCCCCCCCACCCCACCCCACCCCACCACACAATCGCGATATTCAAAAACGTGCGTTTTACGGGAACGGTTTTCGGTCCGCAGGCATAAACTAGTATGGTTGGCTTGCAACACATTGTCACCTCCATGAGCAGATCACGAATAATCCCTTCCCCCTGATACTAAACCCCCTCCTATTAATAAACACCTCAGGTAATTTTTATTATTAGGGAACCTTTTAAATAGATTTAAAAACCGAATAGTAACAACTAGTTTGTTCGATTCAAAATCAATTAATTTTCCTTATGTAACACAATCAAAAATATGGCCAAAAATTGGATTCCGAAGCGGACCCTATTAATAGATTTAAAACCTTAAGAATAAAAACTAGTTTGTTCGATTTCAAAATCGCTTAAATTTCCTTAAATATCGCAATTAAAATATTGCCAAATATGGCCAAAAATTGGATTTCGAAGCGGACCCTATTAATAAAATGAAACCTTAATAGTAAAAACTAGTTTGTTCAATTTCAAAATCAGTTAAATTTCCTTATATAATGCAATTAAAATAGTGCCAAAAATTGGTTTCGAAGCGGACCATATTAATAAAATTAAAAACATTAAATAATAAAAACTAGTTTGTTCGATTTCAAAATCAATTAAATTCCCTTAAATAACGCAATAAAAATATTGCCAAAAATTGGATTTCGAAGAGGACCCTAATTGTAAATTAAAAGCCCTAATATAAATTATTCAAAATTTTCGGACGGACCCTAATAATAAACACCCCGGGGTTAACTAGTTTTTATTATCAGGGGACTAAACCGACAAATGGTAGCTTTATTTAAAAATTGTTTCCTAAAGGAGATCAATTAAAAGTCAAATTGGCCAACCTGAAATTTTCCAAACTGGGAGATGGACCCTAGTTTTTAGTATCTGGGGGACGTTTAGTCATAGGGGGAAAGGATTATGCCACAAAAAGGGTCTGTAACCCTGCTTCCCCCGCAAACCTGCTAATTGGTTTCTCTGAAAGTCCGATTCCAAGAGCATGTCACTCTGGTCGTAGTCCTTTAACCAATTCATCTGTGACCGCAATTCTCGCCTCTGAAATCCCTGTATCGCATAGCCCTTCACGCCCTCAGGGATCTTGACCTGGTGGTATGTGATCTTGTTTTTCCATGGGTCCAGCTGCCCGCTGTTCAGCAGTGCATCGAAGTTGTACGGCTTCATCCCTCCTGTAAAGTCGCGATCGCCCTCGACAATGTGAATCTCAGACACCTCCTCGCCCATCTCATAGAATCGAAGTAGCAACTCCTCCACTTCATACGAATCGACGAATGCAAAGGTGTCAATCAACTTTGCCGGCGACGCCCTCGGACTCAGGGCGATTGCGTTCTTGGCTTTATCCCGAAGCAGGAAGTCTTGGCAGACATCATGGACAGACGGACTTTGGCCTGCATTGTGCGGCAAGTCACCGGGCTTAAAGCCGCCTTGGGTCAAAGAATTTGGGGTGGGCTCGCTCTGGCCGGCTGTAGATTCATGGATCTTCTGGCTTGAAAGTTGCAAAGCTACAGCCAGATCTGGCATGCCTTCTGTCCTCGCAGCGTCAAGATGGCGCCGCTCATTCCCGCCCAAGGGACAGGCCCCTGGCCAGGCGCCCACTGCCGAAGAAAGCAAGGCAAAGAAAACAAGGGCCATGGGCGTTAGATCGGTTATGGAGCACGGGGTCTCTTTTTCGAGTTAGTGTTGTCAACAGGAAGACCTTGAGTCACCTTGAGCAAAAAAAAGAAATTGAACATATTGATGTCATTGCCTTCCAAAACTTCTAAATGGTGTATGAAAAGGAATGCGTGAGAAGACTAAGTGGCTTCCGCCACGAAGGAAGTTTAGTTATTTAGCTATTGTCCTGAAAAAAGTTGCCCTGCCTCACCCTGAGCAGTAACAGAAGCATGAAATTGTGTTTTTTGATGGCCAAAAGCAATACACCAAGAAGGAGAAGAAGACGAAGAAACATCGTCGTCATCATCATCATCAGCATCAGCAGCATCATCACCAGCGTCAGCGTCAGCGTCGGCGTCAGAGCGTTACCACCATATATTTTTTGTTCTGTCGATAGTGAGAAGGATGAATGATGAATGAGAAGGACAAAACGATGATAGTGATGGCTCGGCCGGTTCTCATCACCAGTATGCTGCTGCTGCTGCTGCTCGTCAGCAACACCGCACCATGAATCTCATGCCAGATACATCCAGATATCCAAATCCATCCGACATCCTTAAAATCTCGAGGAAATCCACACAACATTGACCATAAAGACACAACCACTTAGAAGGGAGATCACAAGATCAAATGAACATCATCGTTCCAATTCAACATCTGACCATCTGTCCAATTTTCAGCAAATGATCATCACTTTTGGTGCTACAGCAACCAATTCCCAGCATGCGTCCATCATTTCCATATTAAATCCACCAATTTCCAACTGTAGGCTCTAGACAATCATTTGTCTATCATACATTATCATACCATAATTTTCAGCAATTTTCCTTTCTAGGGCCTTCTCCTGGGCATTTTGCTGCTGCTGCTGCCGCAACCGTTCCAGCTGCTCAGCCCGACGCCTGTGTGGAGCTATGTGGGATAGGCGGGATGCATTAAGATATATGTAATGTCTTGTCTATTGTCTATATGTATGTTGCTGTATGTTTTTTAAAAAAAAGTATGTCCATCTACCTACCTATCAATCTATCTACCTATCTATGCATGTGTATGCGTGTGTGTGTGTGTGTTTGTCTGTGTGATGCGTATGTATATATATATAAATATATTGTATGTACATATATATATATATATATATATTTACACATACTGTATGTACATATATATATATGTGTGTGTATACCATATCTACATTGTAGAAATTTCGTAATCGCCAATATGTACCACAATTACAGCACCCTGTGCAGAGCGCATTTTTGCTTGAGCCATGCCACAGTATGATGGTGAGAAGTGATGTACATGTGACAATACTGTGCAACAACACCCACCGTGCAGTGAAACTACTATACATTAGGGGTGAAGCTGCAAATTCATACTACGCACGGCCAAGTAAGGGATTCCGTTATTAGAATAAAATCAACAATAAGGGTAATAACTACCCAAACCCCAAAGCGCAGCCTTCCTTCTGTATCGTCTTTGGTGCTTTACACAAAAGAAAATTTTATTGAAGAACGACGTCTGTGGTATAAAATGTTTTTTCCTGCAACACATGGCAACGGGTAAAGAAAGAAACGCTGTTGAAAGCATTGCGCGTTTGAGCTGTAGCGAGCTACTGGCGGTGAAAAACAAGTGAAGCAAACTCAATACTGAAGCTGCAAGAGCAAGATTTCTACACAAGCTGTTTGCGTGGGCAACTTGTGGAAATGTGGACATGATTGGAAATGTGCAAAGGTAGAAACACATAAAGTGCAAACCGGAATGTGGCAGACCCTAGCCTTAGCTGCATCCAAGCATGTTTCGAGCAAATGCCCAGCCTCAAAAGTGGCACAAAGGTGGTTGGCTGGGTTTCAACTCACAAGTGTTCGTTGGATTTTGCTTCTGCAAAACTACAGATGCTACAGCCTTTCTCAGGTGCAAACGCGCTGGCGGCTGCTGATTGGACCCAATGTTGCACACTGCTCACGTCACCAATGTTCACTCTCGAGTATACTTTTTTTGTCGGTCCCGGCGCCGGTGCCGGTTGCCGGTGCCGGTTGCCGAAGCCGGTTGCCGGTTGCCGGTGCCGGGTTGCCGGTTGCCGGTTGCCGGTTGCCGGTGCCGGTTGCCGGTTGCCGGTGCCGGTTGCCGGTGCCGGTTGCCGGTTGCCGGTGCCGGTTGCCAGTTGCCGGTTGCCGATTGCCGGTTGGGTTGCCGGCGCCGGTGTCCCTTGGCCGGTGGCCAAGCCTAGACGCCTATACGTCATTATACGCCTATACGCGTATATGCCTATATACGTATTCTTTTAAAGGAGCCGCAAGCTAACCACAAAGTAAAACTCAATACTGAGCGCAAATAACTTTAAAGCAACCCTAAAGCAACCCCAAACCAACCCTAAACAGACCCTCAGGAAACCCTACAACTTAAAACGGCCCAAGCTGAGACCTTAATCTACCCAGAATAAAGACCAAACCAAGCCGAGGCAAACCTTGAACCAACACGAAAACAAACCTTCAACCAACCCTAGAACAACTTTGAAACCGATACAACATAAGCCTTAAACTAGCTTAAACATTTAAATCTGGATTGGATGCTACATAGACCTCGAGCAAAGCCTGTGACTACTGGAGCCTGTTCCGGTACTAGATTCATCTATCGTTATCGTTCAATCCAGAAGGCTAAGTCCAGTTTTCGTGTGCACTTCCCTATTTTTGTCAGTTCCGACTTTGTTGATCTTCTTCAGTTTTGTTGAATCCCCAACTGTTGTGGTGGGCTTGCTCCCTATGAAAATAAACCACATCCGATCCGCGTGTTCCAGTCCTGCCTGCTCCTTACCTGTAGCGCATGGCACGATCACAGGCACTTACGGCGGCGTTGAAACTGGTCCTTTTTGCAGCTGGAGAGTGGTCCCAGCAGAAGTTATGGTTCGCGTGATTCATGTGGTAAGCCGGAGAATGAAGAATAAACTAGTTTAACAAGGGCGGTTAATAATGACAGGAAAGCAACAAAGACAAGACCCACAATAACACACTTGTAATTCCACCATTTGTTTTTGAATGGGCCTTTCAAGAACACGCGAGGCTTATCGTTGTATTTACGACAGTAGTCAAGGCAAGGACGCTGCCAATTGCGGTGTAGAACATGTTTGAACCATGGCTACTGATGAACAATAAATATATATATATATACTATCTGGCCCATTTACCCAGTTTTACTAGCCATAAGGGGAGTATTCAAAAACGAATCTCAATAAGGGATCTATTATTGATTTAACCACGTTAAACTTTTTTTCAACTAGGATGAGTTTCAAAGCAGTGGCGTCCAGCTTTTCTACAAGGTCCCCTCCTCAAGAATGGGGCCACCCCAGCCCAAGCAAAACAAACCTGTTGTTTTAAGTTTTCCAATGATCCTGCAAATGTACCGATAGATATCGGAAACAGGATAGCCCCAAAAAACAAGGAATCATCATTTTCTCCGTCAGAATTGTGTGTCATCTTTGACGAA